TATTGTATCTCGGCAATCATGAACTGCAAGGTACGTATAAGCTCTAGGTCTTTAAAACATTATTGACATCAGTTAGATATTAAACCTTATCTTCTTTTCATTCGTAAGTAATGAAAATTCGTATTCCTTTTTTCTTTTTTTTTAATCTGTTTTGTACACTGATTTTAAGATTTGAGTATCATAGATGAATATTCTTGGCGGATATTTAACGGATTTTATATTAAATAATGAAAATTCTTGTTCATTTTTTTGTTTATTTTTAAATGCTGATTTTAAGATATGGGTATTTCAAATATTCTTGGAAGATGTCTATATTTTCATATAATAGTGAATAAAGAAGTTTATCAATTTTCGTAGTTTTACACATATAGTTTTATATATTATTCATTATTCTTTAAATGATAAATAACGTACATTATTAATGTTTTTTTTTCATTTCTCCTTAACATCACCTTGTATATTCCACAGGTCCTTCTCCTCTTGGCCGCGGCAGCTGTGGCTTCTGCTGACAGGCGTCCGTACTCCTACTCCGCCCCGCAGGTAAGAATTGATGCGATACCCTTATGCCAGGTGTGCAGATTATCCGGATAATTTGCAAATTCCTTTCGGAAAGTTTTCACAATACGTAGCCATGAATTATGTGTATTTCAGTATCTGGATTTTTTTTTTCTTATACATATGAATTAGACTAAGGGTGGTTTTCATGAATTCATAAATTCCGGGATTTGTTTAAAACAGAAAAAAAAATGAATTTCTCCTTAAGGCACCTCATGAAAAGGTCTTAAACAGTTGTTTCTGTCTATGACTTGGCCGATAATTCCGAATCAGTAATGATGGTGAATATTTGGATATCACATTTTGTTTACTGTCAGATATTACCTTAGCCGTTTCCTCCGTGTTTACTGCAGCTTTCTCTCAGATAAATATAAATGGTTTTCATATAATTGAGACCAATTGAAATAGACATTTTCATTTCACTATTACATTATCACAGGGACTAAATAAAACAAATATTGATTGTTAAATGTTGGCACTGAAAAGTGGCACAGTGCGAGTCAGAAACGACAATATCGCTAAGGACAGTCTTAGTCATAGTCATAGACAAAGTCTATGACCTATGACGATCTTAGAGTCAAAAACTGTCTTTAGGATAGTCCTTAAATTTCTCAAAGAAAAATCTATGACCCTTCGTGAATACCACTCCAGGGTTTGTCGGATTGTACTAATGACTTTTTCCCCCATTAGTTTTCCTCTGAGGAATTCGGCCCCGCCCACTACAACTTCGACTGGAAGGTAGACCACAGTGACTCCGGCAACGACTTCGGCCACCAGGAGGCCCGCGACGGCGACGACACCCAAGGAACCTACTACGTGCAGCTCCCCGACGGCCGCCTGCAGACCGTCAGGTTCGCTGTCAACGGCGACTCCGGATTCCTCCCTGAGGTTTCCTACGACGGAGAGGCTCGTTACCCTGACTCCTCCGACTCGTTCGAGTCTCGTGAGTTCCGTGGCTACGCCCCCCCAAGGCCCGTCTACGGTTAAGAGACACGTTTGCTAATGAGATGCACCCTTTCTGTTCACTGATTTTCTATTTATTTCATTCATTAGTAAAATTATGATGACGAGTCAGCATGTAAATATAAACAAGATGATTTATCTTTAATAAATGTGCATAATAAATATGTTGTTTTTGGCTAAGAAGAGTGTCTTCACATATTTGTATGATAAGAGAAAGGCCTAACAGAGTGATATGTGTTAGTGTGTGTGCAAAGAATATTTTTCTGGTATTAGTCCATATGCACATAACCTATTAAAACTACTATCTCACACCCCTATATATATATATGTATATATGGGGAGGTGCCTGTGCCTGTGCCTATGTTTGTGTGCGGATGTTTGTGTGTGTGAGAGCGTGGGTGCATGAATACGTATGTTTGTTTAGTCAGTGAACAAAATAACTTCCACAAAAGACCATTACAAAACCCAGACGGGGAATTATCGGAAAGCAAAGAGGAAGTTGGAGAGCCGGTGACCCTTCCAAAGAGGTCGTGATTATGTGCAGGTTGCATAAACTCTTGCAATCAAGCCCCGGAGAGCAAGTCCGACTTCCATCTCGATCTCCGGCCAAATCTCAAAGTAATAACGTGTCTTGAGAAACTATATCATTATGGTGTTATGATTTTGCTGGTGCTGTTTTCTAGATGACTTTTTTCAGAAATATATGTGTGTATATATATGTGCGTGTGCGTGTACATATAAATATATGTATGTATATATATAATGAAACATTCACACATATATATACATATTTATACATACATAGCTATCTATCTGTATATAGATATATATACACACATATATTTATACATACATTTATATAACAACAATTATGTGTGTTTATGTATATATATGTATGTCTATTTATATATACATACATATAGCTATCTATCTATATATGTATACATATAGGTACACATACATACATAAATGTATATAACTT